ACCAGATGTCAAAGAGAAAAATAACTACCAAACTTTTAGAAGACATCTGAAGGCAGCCCTGTTTAGGGAACCTTCTAATGTTTAATAGGTTATTGCATTTTAGTGTTCTGTTGGAAGCCGCCCAGAGTGGCTGGGGAAACCCAGTCAGATGGGCGGGGTAGAAATAATAAATTATTATTATTATTATTATTATTCCCAATTTGAACTATTAAATGGTGATTTTCTTGAGTAAAAATGAGAGTACCCCTAAACTTTTTTTTTTAAAGAAAAAAAGCACTGAGTTTGGTACACACAAAACCTGCTCATGGATAAGATCAGGCCAAATAAACCAAGGCTAGAAACAGACGGATGTCTGCCAACCAAGAATCAATGACTAGCAGGCAATAGGACAGTTGAGAAAGACTGCAGCAGGGATATTTTGCTTGTGCTCAGGATAATGCCCAAGCATTGGTTTGATTTGTAAGGTCTAAACCACTGAGCCTCTTGGGCTTGTCGATCAAAAGGTCGGTGGTTTGAGTTCCCATGACGGAGTGAGCTCCCGTTGCTCTGTTCCAACTCCTGCCAACCTAGCAGTTCGAAAGCGCACCAGTGTAAGTAGATAAATAGGTACCACTGCGGTGGGAAGGTAAATAGTGTTTCCGTGCACTCTGGTTTCCGTCACGGTGTTCCGTTGCACCAGAAGCGGTTTAGTCATGCTGACCACGACTCAGAAAGCTGTCTGTGGACAAATGCCGGCTTCCTCAGCCTGAAAGCAAGATGAGCACCACAACCCCATAGTTGCCTTTGACTGGACTTTACTGTCCAGGGGTCCTTTACTTTTACCTCTACAGTGGTGGGGAACCTGGGGTTCTTCAGGGGTTGTTGGACTCCAACCTCCATCAATCCCAGCCTCTGTGGCTTATATAAAGCCCCTACTTTATCACCACTTATGTCATTGCATGTTCCTGACTTTTGAACTCTCCTTGCCTTTCAGAGTCAATTCAAGGATTCATGCCAACTTCTGGACTGATAGCATCAAGCTATTCTATTTGTTTTGACAGTGAATGGAATTGCTCCTGTTTTCTGTTATTCAAATACCTGCCACAGGGAAGCCTGAGCAGACTGGCAACTGCGAGGGTAGGGAGGAGGAATTTTTTTGCTCCCTATAAACCAGAGGCAGAGGACTTTATACCCGGGGTCCAAATGCAGCCCTCCAGATCTTGGGACTCTCACCTGGCCACTGCCCCTCCCTGGCCTTGCTTGGCTGGGATGTGTGCTTGAACTCATAATAATAATAATAATAATAATAATAATAATAATAATAATTCCCCATCGCTTACATAAATAAAAAACACCACCCTTAAGCTTGCATTTGCATTTCAAGAAGCTCCCATGGGTACCAGTGGAGACGTCCTTTGAAACGCAAATAGCAGCTTCAGAGGGGTATTTCTTGCCAGGACCATGTCAGGGAAAGAAGGAGTTAAACTCTCCCTCCTTGCCCTGAGCAGAGGCTCTCCAGGCTTCCCTGCGCAGCTGCTATTTATGCAATGAAAAACATACACATCAATTGCATCTGCTGCAATTAATGCCAAGTCTAGTTGGCCCTCAGCCAGGATGGAATGCAGAGGAAGGCTGAGGATGGAGACTCAGAGAAGGCGGGATGTTACCTGGAGCCAGGAAAAAGGCCAGGAGTCTTGGCGTGGGAGGAAGGATGAACTCTCCATGCAAATCCCAAGGCTGCTAGGACATCTGTTGTTCTCAGGGTGCCTTCAGGCAGCATCCCTCCTACTCGGAAAGGTATCCCTCTCATGACAAGGAAAGTCAACAGTAGTAAAAATATCAGAACACTTCGGCACAGAAACATTTACACTGTATGTAATTCCATCTGACGTATGTTTTCCTTCCTGGTTCCTGATCAGATTACCCCACCTGGTGGCCTAAAATGTAACACAAACTGTCACTCCTTAATAAAAGAAGTGAGGGTTGTTGGCAGGGAAGGGAGATGGGAATTAGAGAGTTGCAGTCAGAGCAACTCACTCAGATGGTCGAGGAGACAGATTTTATATGTTAAAAAATCCTTTTGAACCTAATTGGATTCTGAAAAATACGTCTCCAAGAACATTTTTTTTAAAAAAAGGTTATTTAGCTGGACATAGGTTAAAGAACATGCCACTAAAAATCGCATGACCTGCACACAACAGCACAGGCAATGTCTCTCCGATCACCACTGAGCTTTCTGGAGGCATCTTTCAAGATGGATGACAACCACATTCCCACTCAGGATGTCCACTGCTTATTGCTCTTTATTAGTTGCACTGAACTATCTGGACTGCTGCCAGTCTGGCTTTGCTGTTGGAACAGCAAATAAAATAACCAAGAAAAACCCACAACAGAAATGATTGGGAACAATCTGCACAAGTGCCACCAAAATGAATGGGAGCTTTTGTGCAAATTCAAGTGGTTTCAGTGGGGAATGCCCAAAACTTACTCCATTTCTATATTATCAATACCTGTAGCTTTTTATTAAGAACAAATAAACTTTTGATTTTCTGTGAATGCTTAGATCGTGATCCAATCTGTTCCAAAGCATATCTTAACTTATTTTAAAAGAGAGAGAGAGAGATCGTTCACTTTAGAGTACATATTATTAAACATTACATTTTTTTTAATAAAAAAAAGAGAGCAGTAAACCTGTTGCACTGGTTTCAGGAATGACTTTCTCCTTGTCACTCACCCTTTTAAATCAATTCTAATATTGATTGGGTGACCCACTACCTCTGGGTCAAAATGAACAACTGACTTTGTTGATGATTATTTCAAGCAGGATTTGAGCCAAGCCAGCTTGGACATCTTGCAGTCCCTTTGACCACTGGTGGCTGGAGGGTTTAGAATCTTATGAAGCAAGTGACCTGGAAGTGAACCGTGCAAAACCGTAGAAGCACCCCGGGCTTTGAACTTTGGCTTTCACAATGCATCCTTGAGAATTAACCCAAGTGACCCGCCATGCTTTCCTCTTCTTCTCTCACTACCCTTCCAATACTGTATTTGAAAGATGAAAACACATGAACTTTTTAAATACAATGGTCACATTCAGATGATAACTTCCTGTGCTTTTGGTTAGGTGTTGTATTACCTGTCTTGGAGAACAGGAAGCGTTCCAGAGAGCGGCAAACCTTGTACTGATACCACAGTTATCCTGCTTGCTTTGTGAATTGGCACGATCTTTGAGTGGTGATCTTTCACAATAGGTCAAAAATGGGCACCTGAAAGTCCTGAAGCGGCTTCTCAATCTAACTAAACACATAACCAGGTCAGTGGTGAACATTTTGAACTATAATCAATAACACTTCATTTCATTTACTTATTTATCTACTTCTAAAGTGGAGGGATATTTTAAAACTGCATTTTCCACCAGAGCACTGAAGTGTTGCAGTCTACTGTACCACGTCCTTCTACTGTATATGCAGATGAATTGTTAAATAAAAAACAAATCATAACTCCACAATCAACACAATCAAGACTGACTTTACTGCCATTTAAATTATTACTTGGTTTATTTGTTTAACTTGATGAGAATGTTTATAACTTGCCAAATCATAGGAAATATCACAGTGATGTACAAGAAAGCCATCAAAACATTGTTGTTGTTTAGGCACTTAGTCGTGTCCGACTCTTCATGACCCCATGGACAAATGACCAACATTGAATCATGATAATTCCTCTAAGGATGCTTGGCAAAACAAACATGTTCTCAGCAGGCAACGAAATTTTAAAAATTGTAGGTGTCCATCTTGCTGTAATAGGAATAGTGTTCCAAAAGAGTGGAAGTCTTAGTTCATGAAGAAACTGGATAAATATGAGATAACACTGGGATAGTCAGAAGGACTTTTCCAGATCATTGCAGCGTACGAGAAGCACAATAGTCCGTCGGACATTTTGTTCCTAGGCATTTTAGAGCTTTATATACTGACAATAATTCCTTGAACTGAGCTCAGAAATATACTGGCAGACAGTTTAGGCCAGTCAGCGCTGCTTCATGTGGTTTTTAATGCTGCTTTGAGTGTTTAGATATTATTTTTAATGTATTTCCATCCTCCTAAGGCAGGGAAGTGGAACCTCAGGCTGTTGGGTTGGGGTTAAAATGTGGCTTTCCTGGACCCCTCTGGCCTGAGGGATTCATACACCCTCCCCAGGCCCAACTTGCTTTACATCCTCTTCAAGTGTTTTTGCAAGGCTGGAATGTGTTATTGAACTTTGATAATGCTTCTTGCTGCCTTGATGGTGGATAGAGAGGGAAGTGTGAGTGCGATGAAACTAACCTACGGAACAAAAGTAATGTTCACATTTACTGTGCTATCCCCTTTTGCTTCTGGCATGTGGCCCTTGAAACATTGCCCAGAAGGGAAAGTGGCACTTGGGCTGAAAGGAGGTCCCCTACCTTGCCCTAGAGTAGCCCATTCCTGCTTTTGACAGCCAGCCAGCCAAAGAATTCCTTTTTCCTTTCATTGGTGGTTTGTGTGAGGGCTGTTTGGCGACTTCAAGCCTGTTGCTGCCTCCATTTGCTTTTGTAGTTACTGCATTAGATTAACCCCTATTTACATCAGTTAATTGCAATTTGTTCATTAGGAAGTTTCTGTCATGCCTGCCCACCCCCCACCCCATTCTTCCCGACTGCAGTTAGGAGGATATCCTCAATTTTCATGACAATAAGAAAGGAAAAGCAAAAGCATGAAATTCAAAGGAATCTGGAGACAACTAGCTTTCAGTTTTAGACTATGAATAGAGGAGGGTTACAAGTTACACAATAAACATTTAGCCAGTCTCTGGCTGTTTGCCAGCATGCTTTCCTCTGCCAAGCCTCTGACATATAAGAAAGCATTCTTTAAATGGGTATTTCTTCTAAGCAAAAGTCAAATCAATCTCACTTTGTTTACAGTGGGTAGAGATTGATATAGATAAAAGCTATTTTACTAAAGTAGCCAGGACCTAATGCACTGATTACTATGTTTCTGGTTATTATGGCTTTGGACATTAGCTCAGTTGGTAGAGCATGAGACTCTTAATCTCACAGTAACGAGTTCGAGCCCCAGGTTGGGCAAAAAATTCCTGCGTTGCAGGGGGTTGGACTAGATGACCCTCTTGGTCCCTTCCAACTCTATAATTCTACAAGTCTATTATTTATTCATTTATTTCCCTTAGAATAAAACGCCTCAAGTGAGACTTACTTCTGAGTAGATGTGTCTAGATGTATTCTTAGCCCACCTCACCTCAAGGGCTTGTGGGCATTTGGCAACATTCAGATGAAATCCTCAATAAAATGCAAATCATAAAACACAAGAATTCAAATGATCTGTTACTCTTGCTCAACTTTGGCTGTTGAAAGGCCAGCACAAAAAGAAACAGCTGCATACATCGGTGCTTAACCTAAACGTGTGACAAAATATTTTTTTTTATCAAGAGAAATTCTTATATTTGCTCCTTAAATTAAGGCTGCTACAAAAACAGTTTTGCACTGCAGTTAATTAGAGCAAGCTGTTAAAAAAACAAAACACCATCCCATTTTAATTTTTTTAAGTCTTGCAGAACTTTAGGAAAATGTGCTGGCTCATACTTCAGAGCAAGCCTTTCACCATCAACAGATCTTTGCCTCAGCCAAGGAATTTGAGAGGTTGCTAACATGTCACAAAGCTGCCTTATGGGGGTTAAGACTTACAGACCCCACATGCCAGAATAACACATGGGAGGGGGTCATTTATTAGGCTAGCCCTGCCCTCCCCATGCTGACACCCTCAGCCACTTGCCCAGTCAGGACAAGAAGGAGCTCAACACACATTTTTTAAAAATTATTTATTTACTTAACAAAATGTATCTACCACTTTCCCAGCAATATGCCTACCAAAGAATATTTAAACCATAAGCAAACGATCCACAGTACCAGACCCTCTAAGTGTCCTTATTTTCTAGGAACAGCCCCAGATTTACAGAAGCCGTCCTAATTTCTCAGATGATCCTGGAATATCCCACTTTTCTTTAGGCCGTCCCTATTTTCATTGGAGAAATGCTGGAGGGTATGGAGTTACGTAACCCCTGAGCCAAGGAGATAAGTAACTCTACAACCTTCTGAAGGCATTTGAAGGCAGCCCTGTAAAAGGAAGTTTTTTTTAAAAAAAACTGTTTAATGTTTTATTATGTTTTTATACATGTTGGAAGCTGCCCAGAATGGCTGGGGAAACCCAGTCAGATGGGTGGAGTAAAAGTAAAATAAAATAAAATAAAAATGGAATAGGAAGTCCCTATTTTCATCAGAGAAATGTACCAAATAAAGGTTCAAAGCCATTTAGCCCCCTCTCATCCTTCTTCCTATGCAACTTCTGTGATGCTTCTCTCAGAACTGTGGGAAATCGCAGCTCAAAACTGAAAAACAAGCTTCTAGCCCTTATGTCTGCAGAAAGAAAGCAAGAGCAAAGTGAAGGCAGCAGCACAGAAGCGACATTGTTGCTATTTCAGGTAAATCTCCTTCTTAAGGCTTTCGAGGAGAGCAAACAACGCCTTTGTGATCTCCTCCTGCGAGCAAAGATGGGAGGTTCAAAGTGTCTCTACTGCATAAAGCCCTTTACTTTGCCCTGCGTCTCTTGTCTGAAGTTGCCTCAAGTGCCTGGCGCGCTCCTTCATGGAACAACAACATACAGTGAATAATCAAATCCGGCAAGTTTCATACAGGGTTTTGAGGCTGTTGCTTGTCTTCGCCGTGTTGCCCTTAAATCAAAACTGGCTGGGCCGGATCCCTTACCAAATCCAACTGCCCCAAAAGCGATGTCATGAAAACATCTTCCCCTTCAAGTAACCCCGGTCGCCTTTCTTTCCTCACACAAATAAATAAACACACACACATCCTTGCTTTGCTTGGTCCCGCAAAAAGATTTCTGTCCTTTTTATATTTCCTCCCCTGTTTCGGTTAAACCCTCATTAACTCCACTCACGCTGTCTCGCTCTGTTTGCCAATGCTTAAGTAGCACTTTAATAAAAAATTAAAAATCCCCCACTCCTTCTTCTCCTCCTTCTCCTTCCTTTTTTTTTTAAAAAAAGCAACCAATTAGCACCTCATCAGCTTCAATTAGAGGAGACAAAAGCAGTGTAAAGATAACTCAATGAGAGGGGGTGGCATAGCATCATGTAATCGCTTAAGACAGCATTGGCCATTCAATGCTCTAAGAGACCGGGGCCTATTCACCCTTCTTTCTTCCCTTTTGGGGGAATTTAGGACTATTTTGATGGGAAGACAGGCCTCCCAGAAGTCTCATAGTCCCTCATTCAGAGGCTACCTGTTTACAGCTCACAGAGCAGAAGGGCCTAAACAATCCTATATTGTACGCTCAGTGCTTCCTTAAACCTAGGCCTCCATAAAAGCCTGTTTTCAGTGGCCGGGACTACTAAGTTAAAGGCCGGCTTTATCCTCATTAAGTGTTCTCCTTGTACTGTCTTCTAATTACAGGGGAAGGGCAACAATGTATTTTTCCCCCCAATGAGAGTTCTTTGGAGCAGTTAATTTGGTGACTGTACTAAATGCCTTTAAACATTAATTAGTGTGGAAGGAACCCTAATTTCCTCCGCAGCTTTCCTGTCCATTTAACTCCCCCTTGTTTTCACATAGGCTTGGATGAGCCTCCATAATGAAATTACCTCATTAATGCCTTTATTCTCGCACAGTAACTCATTCAAGATCGCCCATTTAAGTTTTAATTTGACGCTGTCAAAAGCAAAAGCAAAAAAAACAAAAAAAGCAGCCTTCATGGTTTGATTACTGCATTTTTTTTAAATAAAAAAAAAAGCCTCTCGCCTGCCCAAATGAGTGGACAGATTTAAATTATTAAGATGGCAAGTAGTGAGTTATAATTGGATACAAGCAGCACTTCAGAGAATATTAAAAGCTTTCAAAGGCTGGCCTACGTAGTCTGTTGACTATTAACTGCATCCACTGAGTTACTGTGGGGTTTCTTCTACCCCAGAACGGACAGCAGCACAGCACCTGAGTCCCTGCAAAGCAAATAGCTGGTCTTAATAAACAAAGCTTAAATAGGGTTGCAATTAAATCAACAAGGCCTGCGCTCCTTGATGATGAGTGCAACAGACCTTCCTTTTGTCTTCCCCTGGCCTTATCATTTGCAACTCCCTGTTAACCTGAGGTGGCCTGAGACAAATGGAAATATGTGGTGACTTCCCTCAGAACCAACAGTGAAATAATTCCTAGATTATTTAATCAAAAATGAGTAACATGTAGCCCCAATCCTATCCGAGAAGTAAACCCCACTGAGGCCAGACGGGACTTACTTCTAAGTAAACGTGCATAGAACAGCAGCTTTACGCAAACACACATAAAACTAGGTGATAATAATAAACTATAAATGCTGTTGCAGCATATAATCTGTGGAAATACTGGTGAGGTGCTTCCAGTGCTGGGACATACACCAGGAGAAAAGGCCCATCGAGTGCCAAAATAATATATTTAGCATTCATGTTGTGCTTTCTGAATGATCAAAATCCTTACGACACCTCTGCGAGGTAGTTCAGCGTTCTCCCCCCTCACCTTGCAGGAAAGTTGAGAGAGAGCGAAAGAGAGCGAGAGAGCCTTGCTTTAGTGGCACCTAGTGAATTTGTGGCAGAGGTGAGGACCAGCTCAGGACCAAACAAGATTCCTGCCTTTCTCTATGGTGGCCTATGACCGGAATTTCCCCAGACATGTCCAGGATTCAAACGGTAAAATTAGCGTCTGAGGGGAAATTTAAAAATCAGCAAAATGTCCGAGTTTTCGGCAACAGAACTTTTGTGTCCAGATTTTTCTTCTTGAAATATGGCAGCCCTACTTTATCCCTTGTGCATGTGATTTTAAAATAAAATAAAATGGTGTGAATACAGAGAACTAAACTGGGACCATGGGAAAGGGAGAAGGAGCACCCCCCAAAAAAACCCCACAGTACAGATGTGAACTGGGACCACCTGAGCTGGCTACTTCTATAGGGAAGAAAACTTCCACTGGCGCCGAAGGGAAATTCCCTCTCATTGCAAATAGGCAGAATGGCGGGTGGAAGAGGACTGATCTGGCTTGTTCTCTCTCCCCACACCACCAGCTATTTAAGTTTTTTTGGAAAAATCAAGTATGCAAGGGGTAAAGTAGGGCCACCATACGTCTGGAATTCCCCAGACATAGCCGGATTCGGCTCTCGTAAACAGCACCTGGGCAGAAATCGCTGAAATGTCCAGGAAAATCCAGACGTAATGGCAACCCATGTTGGAAGTGTAGATTCTCCACAAAAGGCATTCAAAGCAATATACAATGGTGCCTGAAAGCAGAAAAACACTGTGGCGTAGGATGTTTTTGATTCAGTGCTATTCTGATGTCTCTTCAAATGTAACTGCTTTAGTTGTATCCTTTACAAATAAGGAAAACATAATGGAAAAGATACAGATTGATGTCTTGTTTTTAATATAATGCCACACAAAGAAAATAAAAAGTCAAAGTGCTGAAGTTCCACTGTTATCAAAAGAGGCTTTGGAACCAAAATGAGCACCGTTATATAAAATGCATCGCAGAACTGAATGTGTTTTCTTTTCACAGTTAGACTGAAAACCATATTTTCATTGCTAACCATCATGAATTCTAACAAGATTTATTAGCTTTACAAGCTTAGCAGTTTCCCACATCTTCATAATCCCATCAGCACTCTTTGGAAAAAGTCTGATGATTTCTAGAGCCGAGCTTTTCCTTGCCTAGTGGCTCTAAATGCATTGGATGGCAGCCCTATGGAAAAGGAGATTATGTATCTTTTAAAAAGAAAAATGCAACTCGTGTTTTTATTTTATTTATTTGAAATGCTTCTGGGCTGCCTTTACGAGTCAAAACAAGATGGCTTACAAATAAAGCATACTACTTCCACAAAACATTAATAAAAGCCAGCCATAAAAACAACAAATACATCCAGCACAAACAAGCACAACCAAAACCATCAGCAGAAGAATTAACTCTGCCATGACCTCGCCATGTAGCCCTCATCCAGCAACCATCTCTCAGCCTCAACCTGCCACCTGCAATAATATTGGCCTACCTGACTTTCCCAGGTGTCATAGGAAGTAGTGGGGAAGGCACTGGTGTCCACAGGTATCACATTGGTGACCCTTGACCTACTGTCGCATCTGGAGCTCAGCCTGAGGATGGGCCCTGTCCTGTTGTGCATTGCAGCTTCTTGGCCTGCATCAAAGCAGAAAGGGAGAGCTGGTTTAGCACAGTTGCTCAGAAGAGCATGAGCTCACAGCTGCAGCTTGCATCTTACAGCAGCCATGAGTTCCCTTGGCAGTCTTTAGTCAACTGCCATTCTCTGAGCCTTAGCCACTGTCAGTGCCGGATTTATGTATAAGGATTTATGTATATACACATATGTATATATGTATAATGTATTTTTATTTATCCTATTTACTGATAGGAAGTGCCTACAGAGGGTGGTGAATACAGCACAAGATATTATGGGCTGTCCCGTGAATCCGCTGGATGAAATAGCGAAAGAACGGTGCCTCAAGAGAGTGAGGAAAATTCTCAAGGATGATTCACACCCTGGTCGGCGCTTTCTTGATCTCCTGCCCTCGGGCAGAAGATATAGAAGCATGATTAGTCGCACCAACAAGGTAAAGAACAGCTTCTATCCGTGGGCTGTTAGGCGGCTGAATGAAAAGATAACAACAGGGCAACTGACTTTCGGGTTTCGTGGGTGCGCGTCAGTAAACGAGGGGAATGAAGACTAAGAGAGCTGAGTGGGGGGTGCTGGTGTAATCTCACTGTATACAAGTTGTACAAGTGACAATAAAGTGTTTCTATTTCAATTTCAAGCTAAACAAGCTATAGCTTAGGGCCCCACTCTCTTGGGGGGCCCCAAAAAATTAAAGGAAAAAAACACCTGGATGTACATTTCCAATATATAAGATAAAAAACAAATAAAATAAAATAAAAACCTACATACAGCAACAGTGTTTTGTGTTGTGTAGGCTCCTAGGATGTAAGTAATGGACCCCACCTGCTAGCCTGATCCCTAAAATATCACTGTTTTTCTCATTTCTATATCAATTGCTTAGATAAAAGACGTATTTTGTTATGTGCAAATGGCTTTAGATACCTATTAGGTCCATAAATTACCATATAGCATATATTCAACACAAAAATTAGTGACAATTTGTTGTTGACAAAGGACAGCTGGACATATAAAGGGCCCCATTACCTTCAGTAGCTGAGGGCCTCATCAAACCTAAATCTGGCCCTGGCCACTGTCCATACAACATGGCATAGTAATAGTGGCCTATTGCATTGGGTTTCTGAGATTGTTTCCATGAAGTGCCCTGAACTTGTCAAATGTACAATATAAGTGCTAAGTATCAAGGCAATGGGGAGGGGGGAATTATACTTGCAGTTAAAGCTCACTTTGCTGGAAGCAGAAGAATGGAGAATATGCAAAGAGACGAACTGTGACCATGTACAGGCCAGCAGTGGTGGTGATGGGAGGAGGAATGGAGGTAAGACTCGGAGTGAGCAAATCTTTCCTAAGCTCTTCACTTGCAAGCGCAAATGAAGTTCCTGAGGAAGGGAATAAAACCCTGAGCTCCTTCTTTCCCTTATCTGAGTCTGGGTTAAGGATAATGCTTGGCAATCTGCTTCCTTCTGTACAAGCAGCAAAAAGTGCACTGTTACGGAGTCTGGACATGTTCTAAATGCCACTGATGTGACCATTCGTGGTTATGCATTCCCTCGGAAAGGAAAGAATTTGCAACTTGCTGATGCCATCTTGTGGACAAGGAAAGAAGCCAACTAAGAAATTCTGGGGGAAAGAGACCTAAAACCTCTGCTTTACATAGGAATAAAGTTCCAGGTGAACTTAATTTGGGACATTTCCAACCATGCTATTTTAAACACTGAAAAGCATTTTGGGAGAAGGATTTGCTCAATAATATGCCCATATTCACCTAGGACAGAACTGCCCAGATTGGCTTAATCTGTCACCGGTGATTTCAGCATGATTAAGCCAAATCAGAAGGTAGATCATAGATCATAGAATCATAGAGTTGGGACCACAAGGATCATCTAGTCCAGCCCCCTGTGATGCAGGAATCTCTCGTCCAATGTGGGGCTCAAATCCACAGCCCTGGTGGCAGATGGCTGAAGGTGACGTCCCTGATTTAGAGAAGCCACTCCAGTTTCTGATTTGATCCCGGAATTTCCCATTTTTCCTTAGGATGTCCCTATTTTCATTGGAGAAATGTTGGAGGGTATGGAGTTATCCAACTCCCGAACCATCTGGAGGCAATCTTGTACAGTGGTACCTCAGGTTACAAACGCCTCAGGTTACATACGCTTCAGGTTACAGACTCCACTAACCCAGAAATAGTACCTCGGGTTAAGAACTTTGCTTCAGGATGAGAACAGAAATCACACGTCGGTGGCAGCGGGAGGCCCCATTAGCTAAAGTGGTACCTCAGGTTAAGAACAGTTTCAGGTTAAGAACGGACCTCCAGAACAAATTAAGTTCTTAACCCGAGGTACAACTGTATAGAGTTTTCTTTAAAGTTTAGTGCCTTATTGTGTTTTTATATACATTCATACCTCGGTTTGGGAACAGCTTAGTTGTCCAACAAATCGGCTCCTGAACGCCGAAAACTGAAGTGCTCCGGTTTGCTAATGTTTTTCAGAAGCCGAACGTCCGACACAGCTTCCACTTGAGTGCAGGAAGCTCCTGCAGCCAATCGGAAGCCAAGCCTTGGTTATTTGAACATTTCGGGAGTCAAACAGACTCCCAGATCGAGCTAAGTTCAAGAACCAAGGTACCACTGTACAGTGGTACCTCGGGTTACATACGCTTCAGGTTACATATGCTTCAGGTTACACACTCCACTAAGCCAGAAATATCGCTTCAGGTTAAGAACTTTGCTTCAGGATAAGAACAGAAATCGGGCTCCGGCGGCGCAGCGGCAGCAGGAGGCCCCATTAGCTAAAGTGGTGCTTCAGGTTAAGAACAGTTTCAGGTTAAGAACGGACCTCCGGAATGAATTAAGTACTTAACCTGAGGTACCACTGTATGTTGGAAGCTGCCCAGAGTGGTTGGGGCAACCCAGTAAATTGTGTGGGGTGTAAATAGTAAAATCATCGTTATGGAATGGAACGTCCCTATTTTCATCAGAGGAATGTTGGAGGGTATGAGGAAGTGCCGTGGTAACTTCCAGTTGGCTTGGCTTTGCCCTTAGGGATGTTGTCATGCACCCCAATCTGGGGCTGGCTATGTGATATGGAGCCAAACTGTATGTTAGATTAAGCAAGTGATGAGTAAATACATCCTAGACTTTTGCTCCCTCCGCCCCATGGCTCAGATCCCCCCTCCTGTGGCTAATATATGCTCCAGCAGTGAAGCTTCTCCAAATTTGTCTTGCTTTTCTCTAAGATTATATACTCTTTTCTTTAAACAACAACAACAACAACATGGTGTAACAAGTAAAAGAAACAAGCAAACCTGCAATATTCAAACCAGAAGTAAAGCAGTCAATATATAATCCCACCCAAAGTATCAGGCCCTTACTGGCCCCACATCTGATGGCCGAACTGGCTAAGTGCAAAATGGAACAAGTGTTGCTCCTTTCATTCCTCCACCCCCTATGCTTTTTCTAGCTGCAGGTTTGATGGTCTTGAAGAAAAACTAGCTCTACCAATATTTCTGACTAAATGCAATTCAATGCAGTGAAAGATACAAATGAAACCAAGATAAAACACCAGCTTGCAGCTTCGCTGAAGTTACAGCGTGGAGAAAAGATTCACAGGGAAGTTCCCCCCCCTCCCAGACCACCAGAGGTCACCCCAGAGGGGAGCCAAGTGCACTGTGGTGTTTTCCTTTTCTTTTTTCCTGATTAAAAATCCCACAAAAAACGATAAAGAGGGCAATTGTGTTTGCTGTGGCTACACACTACACATTTCATCTGAACATGCAAACACAGATTCCTAAACATTTATGCATGTACAGCAAGGCGTCGTGCTAGAGCATGGGCCCTCACCTCGCGCACACCAAACATTGTTGGGAATAATTGTCTGTCAGAAACCTCAGTGTGAAACAGTTGTGTGTCTTCAGAAGGCCTTGGGTGCTGTGACTAGGCCTCTCTATGTAGCCCACAGGACTTTCCCATCTCCTTCCCAAACCATGTCTCACACTGGCCCTGATCCACACCATTTTGAGTATTTTTGTCTGGATGGAATATGTCCTTGATGCCATTTTATTTGCCTGGGTGGATATGTACAGTGGTACCTTGGTACTCAAACGCCTTGGTTCCCAAATGCCAAAAACCCGGAAGTAAATGTTCCGGTTTCTGATTTCCGGAAGCCAAATGTCCGATGCGGTTGTCGGCTATCGTTTCTGGGGCGCCTGCACCAATCAGAAGCTGTGCCTTGGTTTTTGAACATTTTGGAAGTCAAACGGACTTCCAGAACAGATTAAGTTTGGCGCTTTTGTTTTTGCTATTTATTTTGCGTTTTTGTTTTTGAGGCTTTTTCGGTTAATTTGTTTTTTTGACTGTGTGAAACCCAGTTCAGCTACTGATTGATTGATTGTGTGACTGCAGAAATGGATAAAAGCCCCCCATCCAAACAATGACTAACATCAGTGCAGGTAAGAAAAATAATAATCATTTTAATTTTTATCATCTAAAATACTGTCTTATTTATTTTATAGTACACTACATTGATTATTGCTTTCATTTTAGGGATCAATAGTCTCATTAGATAGTAAAATTCATGTTAAATTGCTGTTTTAGAGGTTGCTTTTAAAAGTCTGGAACGGATTAATCCGTTTTGCATTACTTTCTATGGGAAAGTGCGCCTTGGTTTTGGAACACTTTGGTTTTGGAACGGACTTCCCGAACGGATTAAGTTTGAGAACCAAGGTACCACTGTACGTATGCATATATCAATGTCTGGTTTTTGCATGGATGAAATATAGCCTACTATACATTAGGAAGTCACACCCGTTGTCCTCCTAATGCACAACCAACTACTGTATGTTTCTAATGGTGATGGGGCAGACTCTCCAAAGACAATCAGCACTAGCATTTTGTATGCCACCTTTCCATAGTTAAAACCATGCTCAAGGCAGCGTACAACATGAAAATATTAACATAATCGCAAACATAACAAAAGTAGCCATGAATGAATAAAACACATCAAAAAGTACACAACCAAACTCAATTTCTTACATAAATCTAAAAGATCTAAAAAATATAGATACAAAAATATTATATCAAATAACATCAACACCCCCCAACAACAAAACCCCTAAACAATAGTTCAACTCAAGAGTCATAATAATAATAATACATTTTTATTTATACCCCGCCCTTCCCGGTTCAGAAAACTGGGCTCAGGGCGGCTAACAACAAATTTAAAACACTTAATTGATGCAACAAAAAAGAGCATAAAATACAATATAAAACATGAATAACAATAAATTCAGAATTCAAAAATCAATTTAGGGGGGAAATCCATCCAATAAACATTAGATGATCACCAGAGCTAGCTGGCTAAATTAGTCCTATTTGGACCAGCAAGGAGACCAGGGGGGAATTAGGGGAGAATCATAAGGCTCAGGCAAGTTTGTATGAGTGAAGGCAGTCTTTTCAGGCTGCCAGCCAGGCAACCAGCCAGCCAAGCCATTAAAAAACCTTTGCCCACCTGGTCCCCTACAGATGTTTGGGGCTGCATCTGCCAGCATGGCTTCAGGGTTAATACTAGCACTTTTTATCAGGCCCAGAAGCAAACAAGGAACCAGCACAGTTGAAATAGCAATGCCTCACTCTGCTCATAAACTCAAAGAGCGTTCAGCATTCTGACCACTGCATTCTGCACCAATTGCAGCCTCTGAAACCATCTTTAAAGGCTACTCCATGTATAGAGCGAATGGAGTAC